TGACTTTGGGTGTTGTAGGGCATGTCTATGCATCGTGGGGTTTTATGCATGTTTTGCTCAGCATTTCTGTGTGCTCTCAGCTAAATGTTGGTGTTATGAAATAAAAAACCTGTTTTTCAGAACCAGTCTTCGTTGTCTGGAAATTCTATATATTATGGGACATGTCCATGTATTTTGAGGAAGGCCTGGGTGTCATGAGGTAAGTTCAGTTGTCCCCAAAATACATGGACATGTCCCGTACTACATATAATGTTGTGATTCTGTGTGGCTTGGATAAGTCAGCATGTGTTACAACAAGCCTTCTTATTGTGAATCATATCTGTAAGTTATAGGAAGTATCTGTAAGTTACAGGAGGTGTTATAAAGCAAGAAAGTGTCTTGTGGGATCAGTTGTTATGTTGTAGGAAGGATTTATATATATGGGGTTATGTCCATATACTGTGGCTCCTATTAGGGTGTTCTGGAGCTAGTCTGGGTTGTGGGGGGGCATTCTAGGTGTGACATGATGAATCTCTATGTTTCAGATGCGTCTTGGAGTTATAGGACAAGGCTAGTTGAAGTGGGATATGTCTATGCCTTGTTGAGTCTATGTGTATTTTCGAGCATTTCTTCTGATATTAAGCTAAGTTTTGAAAAGACAAGGAAGTGTTTTATGGATGTTTGTGCATTAAAAGTAGAGTCTGGTTATTTCCATGTGTTGTAAGGCATGTCCATGCCTTGTGGTTTTATCCATGCATTGTGAAACATATCCATGGATTGGCAGACTAATCTGGGATATGAGTCTTTATGATGTAAAATGGATCTGGGTGTTTCCGGGCAAGTCTAGGTCTTGTCCAGGAAGCCTATGTGTTGCAGAACATAGCTGCACATTGTGTTTCTCTGTGTGAGGACCATATTCGTGGGATGCATTGCTGTGAGGGAAGTTGTGGCAGGAAGAGGCTATTTTGTGTGGCCAGTCTGTGTGTTAAAAAGAGAGACTGGCCAGGTGAAGTGGCTCATGCCTATAATCCCAGCACTTTCAGAGGCCAAGGTGGGTGGATCACGACATCAGGAGATTGAGACAATGCTGGCCAACATGGTGAAACCCTGTCTCTACTAAAAATATAAAAATTAGCTGGGGGTGATGTTATGTGCCTATAATCCCAGCTACTCGGGAGGCTGAGGCATGAGAATCGCTTGAACTCAGGAGACAGAAGTTGCAGTGAGCACTGCATTCTAGCCTGGTGACAGAGTGAGATTCCATCCCCCTCTCCTCAAAAAAAAAAAAAAGACAGAGAGAGAGACTGAGGCTGGGCATGGTGGCTCATGCCTGTAATCCCAGCACTTTGGGAGGCTGAGGCGGGTTGATCACCTAAGCAAGATCAAGAGTTCAAAACCAGCCTGGCCAATATGGTGAAACCTGGTCCCTACTAAAAGTACCAAAATTAGCTGAGTGTGGTGGCGCATGCCTGTAGTCCCACCTACTGGGGAGGCTGAGGCAGGAGAATCGCTTGAACCTGGGAGGTAGAGGTTGTGGTGAGCCGAGATTGTGCCACTGCACTCCAGCCAAGGTAGTGACAGACAGAGACTTCATCTCAAAAAAAAAAAAGAGACACTGTTTATGGGGTATTGCCATGTATTTTGAGGCAATTGTCTGGTGACTGTGAGTCAAGTCTGGGTGATATGGGGTATGTCTAAGTGTTGTACAGCAAGTCTGTGTGTTATGAAATATATATGCACATTTTGAAATATTTTAATTTGTGTTGTCCAACAGGTTTGTATTTTATGGAGCAAATCTTAGTGTTGTATAGGCAAGACAGTATTTTGCTGGACCGGTATTTATGTCATGGGGATAATGTATGTGTCATGTCCTGGTTTCTTGTCTGTTAATTGTAGTCAAGTTTATGTGGTACAATGCCATCCTGCATATTGGAGAAGGCTATGGTTTGTGGATTGTTTCTAGAGATTTTAAATTGAGTTATTTGTGTTGTGGAGCCAATGTGATGTCCTGGGGTGAGTATGTGTATTGTAGAGCACATATGTGTGTATGATAGGGTGCATTTGGTTACACTGAGATGAGCCTTTGCATAAATGAGTTTCTGTTTCATCGGTATGTTGTGCATTGTAGTGTGTCTAGGTGTGTGATAAGTCTAGGTGTTATGCAGAGACCTATATGATAGATGCTTCTAGGCATTGTAGAATAGGTGCAGTCAGGGTGGGTGTGGTGGCTCAAGCCTGCAATCCCAGCACTTTGGGAGGCTGATGCAGGTGTATTACCTGAGGCAGGAGTTCAAGACTAGCCTGGCTTACATGGCGAAACCCCGTCTCTACTAAAAGTACAAAAATTAGCCGGGTATGGTAGGGGGTGCCTGTAATCCCAGCTACTCACGAGGTTGAGGCAGGAGAATTGCTTGAACCCGAGAGGCGGAGGTCGCAGTGAGCTGAGATCACACCACTGCACTCCACCTGGGAGGTGGAGGTTGCAGTGAGCTGAGATGGCACCACTGCACTCCACCATGGGCAACAAGAGTGAGACTCTGTCTCAAAAAAAGAAAAAAAATAGGTGCCGTCAATACAGGTGTTATAGGAAAAGAGTGGTGAGAGTATTCATTGTGATGTGAAGCTGTGCTTTATGAGGGATATTCTATGCGTTGTGGGTTGATTCTACTTGCTTTAGATTGAGTCTTACTTACCTTTACGGTCCATTTCCACGTGGAGTAATGACAACAGTGACAACCTGATCAGCTAACATCAATAACACTACCAAGCATTGTTCTAAACACTAACTCTTTACCAAGCATTGTTCTAAACACTTCGTAGGCAGTAACTTATTTATTCTTCTTAACAGCCATAAGAGATAGGCACCACAATTTACAATATTATTCCTAATAAATAGCTGAGGGTCGGGCGCAGTGGCTCAAGCTTGTAATCCCAGCACTTTGGTAGGCCGAGGCGGGCAGATGATGAGGTCAGGAGTTCAAGACTAGCCTGTCCAGTATGGTGAAACCCCGTCTCTACTAAAAATACAAAAATTAGGCTGGCATGGTGGCGCAGGCCTGTGGTCTCAGCTACTCGGGAGGCTGAGGCAAGAGAATCTCTTGAACTCAGGAGGCAGAGGTTGCAGTGAGCCAACATTGCATCACTGCACTCAGCCTGGGTGTCAGAGTGAGACCCCGTCTCAAAACAAAAACAAAAACAAAAACAAAAAACAGTTAAACTCTCTAGGGCACAGAGAGTTCAAGAAACCTTTCCTTTCCAAGATCACACAATTAGTAAGTGATACATGTGGGATTGGAACCCAGGCAGTCTGAGACCTGAGCATCAGCTTTTCACCGTTGTATAACAAGCTTTATATTATGTGGATTGAGACTTGATGAGTTGAGGCTAGTCTTTGTCGTGTGCCAGTCTGGGCACTGTGTGGTAGGTTTTAGCATTGTGGGCCTGGGTTTGCTTTCTGGGAGTCTGGGTGTTTTAGTGCAAGTCTGCATGTTATGGGATGAGTTTGTGTGTCTGTTGTGATGTGACACTGTGCATTTAGGAGAGTTTTGTGTTTAAGAGGATATCTCTGCATGGTAGTACTTATCTAGGTATTACAGATACCTGTGTGGTGTGGAGCCTGGTCATATCTGTGGTAGTATTCTGAGGTAAGTGAGATTTGTGGGCAACTTAGGAGATGTGGAGCATGTAATTCTTTATGGGATAAGCCTGAGATAAGTGTAAGACGAGTTGGGAAATGGGGGCTCTGTATTATAATGTGATGCTGCCAATCTTAGGAGCATGCATTTAGGAACATGTTTGTGACGAACAGGAGTATCCACATGTTGTGAAACAAAAATATGTGTGTGATAGGATGTGTTTGTGTGATGTAGGGCATATCTATGAGGTTAGGATGTGTGTGTGTGTGTTATGTTGAGTGCCTGTGCTTTGTGGGGTAAGGCTAGGTACAACACACAGCCTGGCTTCCAGTCTGGGTATTGTGGGATGTGTTATGGAGCAAGCCTGTGCACAAATTTCTTACTTGTGATGTAATTCTGTGTGTGGCAAGTGACGTCTGGTGAGAGTTCTGGTCTGTTAAGTATGTTGGTACTATGGCAGGGTATCTCTGTGCTGTGGGGTGTTTCTAGATATTCTAGTGTATATATTCTCAATACTTTTTTATCAAAAAATATATATATATGCATATACATATATATATATATATATATATATATATATATATATATATATATATACATTTTTTTAGACGAAATCTCACTCTGTTACCCAGGCTAGAGTGCAATGGTGCGATCATGGCTCACTGCAACCTCTGCCTCCCCAGTTCAAGTAATTCTCCTGTCTCAGCTTCCTGAGTAGCTGGGACTATAGGTGCCCACCACCACACACAGCTAATTTTTGTACTTTTAGTAGAAATGGGGTTTCACCTTATTGATCAGGCTGGTCTCAAACTCCTGACCTCAGGTGATCCGCCGGCCTTGGCCTCCCAAAGTGCTGGGATTACAGACGTGAGCCACTGTGCCCGGCTGCGAATCTATATATTATATGGTAAGTCTTCGTGTTGTCAAATGATTCTAGGTATCTGGGGTAGGCCTTTTCGGCTTTAGTAGTAATGATAGTGATGGTTGTAATATTAATGAACAATTCTAATTGTCACTATGTGTCAGGCACTGGACTAAGCACTTAACAAATCTTAACGTATTTATTATTCACAACAACTCTTTGAAGTAGGTACTATTGTTATCTTTGTTTTACAATGGTGCAAGCTAAAGAACAAAGAAATATACTTACCCAAGGTGATACAATCAGCAACTGATGGGACCTTGATTCAAACCCAGTTAGTATGGGTCTAGAGGCCTTGCTGGGAATCATTACACAAGCTGTATTCTGTTGTTGTAGGCCAGAGGTGTAGCTCAATATCATGGTTAAACATGTCTGTCCATGGAAATCTTTACACTGTAGCGGCAATATGTGTGTTGTGTATCTGCCGACTGGGAAATGTTTATGTGCATTGTTGGTTTTGCACTGTAGCGTAAGTCTGTGTTATGATGCAATTCTGTGCATTGTGGAGGCAATCTGTGTGTTTACAGGCATAACTGTGAATCGAAGACACATCTAAGTGCGATAGACATGATTTAGTATGCTGCAGAGTAAGTCTGTGCCCTGAAGGGCTTATCTGTACATTTAGGGTGAGTCTAGTGCTCAGTGGTGTTTGTGTGAGTTGTGAGGAAAGGATGTATATTGATGGGTGAATCCGTGCATTTTGGTGAATTTCTGTTCATGACTGGACATATCCTGTTTATAGGCAGCAGCTTGAACAGTGAAACTGGTCTATGTGCTTTGGGGTAAACCTAAGAGTGACATAGCAAATAGTTTCATATACTTTGGGATACATGTTTGCATTGTATAGGCACTGTAAGAACTGTTTTTGTGTATGAAATAAATCTGTATGGCAAATGTGTGCTCTGACATTTCTGAGCACCATGGGGTTAGAGTGTTATGCTGTGGGATGTGTTTCTATGCTGTGAGTTGCATCAGTATTGTGGGATGAGTGAGGGTATTGTGGATCACATCTGTGACTGTGCCCAAAAGGGTAGGTCTGAATACCTTAGAGAAAGATTAGGTGTCTCTACAGCACGAGTTTGTCTGTTGTGGAATAACTCTGTGGTAGAGCCAGCTTTTCCCACTCTGATGCCAACCTGTGTATTGTGAGGTATGTCTATTGATCAGAGTGGGTCTGAGGAATTTCAGTTGTATTTTGATGATGCAGGGACACAGCATACATTGTGTGGTAACTCTGTTTTCGGGAAGGTCCAGATATTTTAGGGCAAATGAGTGTACTCTGGAGCAAGTATTTGTATTATGTGGTAAGTATGTCTTTTGTGACATGAATTCGTGCATTGTAGAACAAGTTTGTGTGCTGTTACACAATTCTGTGCATCAAGGAGTGATATATGTTGTAAGATGTCTTGTTGCATTTCTGTGTGGCGGGGTAAGCTTGCCTGAAAGCTATAGGGAGAGTCTCTGTAGTATGGATTTAGTCTGCTTTGTGGGGTGAGTCTATGTGCTCTGGGGAGTGTCTGTGTAGTGTTGGGCAAGTCTGTGTGCTGTGGGGTCTGTGGCCTGGGGTGCTTGTCTGCACACAATAGGGTGAGTCTGTCCGTTGTGGGAGTCTTTGTGTCATGATGCGGGTCTTCAAGCTGTCTCATGAGTCTGTTCTTAGGGAAAGTCTGTTTCATTGGCAAGAGTCCCTGTGCTCTAGGATGCGTCTATGATCTGTGGTGAGAGTGTATGATGTCAGGGGAGTCTGTGTGCACTGGGGAGAGTCTGTTTGCTGTAGGAAAAAGCTGTGTGCTCTGGAGACAGTCTGTGTGCTGTGGAGTGAGTCTATTGGCCTTGAGAATATGTGTCTTGTGGAGGAAGCCGTGCTCTATGGGGTAAGTCTGTAGGCTTTGTGTTTCCTAGAAAGTGTTTGTGTGATGTGGGAACAGTATGTGATGTTGGGATTGTTTGTGTGCCATAGTGGAGTCCTTATGGAGGGCAAGTCTGTGTCATGCTGGGTGCATCAGTGCACCTTAGGTGAGTCTCTGCTTTAAGGAGAATATAGGTGCCTTTGAGAGAGTCTGTTGACACAGGGAATGGGAGTGTCTGTATGCTCTGGGGAAAGTCTTTTTGCTGTGGTGCTTGTCGGTGTGCCTTTGGGTATGTCTGTGTGCTGGAAGGCAAGTCTGTGTACTGTGACAAGAGTCTGTGAGCTGTGGGGATAAATGTGTGTTTGTGTTATCTGGCCATTGTGTGCATTACAGGGTGAGTTTGTACACTGCGGACACAAGTCTGCTTCCAGGGAAGTCTCCCTTAGTATCTAAAAATAATAATAGACAACACTTACATAATGGTTACTATGTGCTGGATACTGTTCTAAACATGCTGTCATCATCCTCATTTTACATCTGAGGAAACTGAAGAGATTTAAGTAGCTGTCCTACAGTCATGCAACTAGCAAGCAGCAGAAGTCTGAAACCAGGCAGTCTGTTTCCTGTTCTCACACTGTTATGATTTCCCTCGGGGCCCTGAGGGCATCGGTGTCCTCAAGCCTTAGAATGACTTCGTGGTCACTGGTGAGCATGTAGAAAGCAGTTAATTTGGGAGGAAAGAAAGGGAGTGGCTAAAAACCTTCCAAGCTTTATTAAAAAAAAAAAAAAATTAATGCTCTATATACAATAACGATGGCAGTTTAGCTCAGAAAAATTGACGTCATGTCTGCCAAATAACTCCAGCCACTGCAGCCCTCAGGATCCCTCCCCCGGCCCCCCGCAGCCGCATTCTGCTACTGCAGTGGAGCAATTGCGCATGCCCTGGCGAGCTGCCATTGCCAGGGAAACCAGCCTCCTCATAAACAAAACACAGCCTAATGCGGCAAGTCAGGAAACTACTGGGACTGAGGCTGTGAACCAAAGGAGCCCCTTGCAATAACCGCTGGCTAGGCAGCCTCCCACTCACGTGCCATCCTCCACCCCCACCCCTTTTTTTTTCCAGAATCAGTAAAGCTAGAGGCCCGGGCCAGAAGTCAATAGAGAAAGAAAGCTTCGTTGGGGGCGAGAGAAAGCGTTGGTAATGGGTAGCAAGTGATTTTACTTGTCAGATCTCTCTGGGCAATATTTAACCCATCTCCTACTAAAAAACTCCTTGCTTTATAGCTCGAGCCTTACATCTGCAGTGAAAAGAGGTGGACCACTGGGGTGTGTCCCTATCTAGAAGAGATAGTGGCAGTGGTAGCATATGAATTAGGACTCACCCTAGCTTCTTTAAATCCCTACATCAGTCTACTGTCAGCAACAGGCTGGCAAACATTATTTACTTCAACTCCTCACACATTTCTTCTATTTCCCTCTTATATCATTCTAGAAAATTCCAGAAACTGAGTCCAGGAAACTTAACTCTTTGAGTATCTAAGGAGGAAAAAAAAAAAGAGGTTGAAGGAGAAACTTTAACCCTGGGGGCATTTTTTAAACACACAATTGGCATATCAGGTGCCCAAGAGGAATAGCACACCTCAAACAGTGGTTTCATATATTTGGATTCCTTAATTTTAATTTGTATCAAGCATGTGACAAACATATTTAAAATGAAAAAACAAAATGCTGTTTAAAAACCACTTCCCTAATCTGCATGTGCCTAGGATTTTTGAAAGACACAAGCACAAATATGGTGCTCTAGTATGCTGTCAGAAGCTGCAAGAAGGTAGGAGTACTATTGCGAAATGTAACCATCTTGGGTAAAGAAAATGGCCGACCTGTGTAAAGCTACACCCTATCTAATGGAAGAACAGTTGTTGCGTTGGATTTTTCAATAAGTGATGCTGAAACAATTGGTGACCTATTAGGGGAAAACATATTAATTCCTTCCGTATACCATAAATCAAAATGAATTATAGGAGGATTAAAGAGTTAACTGCAAAAAATGAAGCAATTAAATAATTAGGAAAAATACAGGTGAATACACTAATCAAAGGAAAGAAAAAAAATCACAACACTTAAAATGGTCAGATATGGAAATCTAACATGTAAAACTATAACATATTAAAAAATCACAACTACAAATGATAAAAATCAATAGGTAAACAATGGCTAGAAAATAATATTTCTACCACATATAATAAATGAACTAGGTGAGAGGTGTTTTGAAGAAGAAACCTTAAACTGGTTCATACCATTTGATCCAGGAATTCCACGTCTACGAATTTATCCTAGGGGGGAGAAAACCAGAAAAGCACACAGATATTTATATGGAAAGATATTCCTTCAGTTATTTATAACAGCAAAAATAATGCAAATATAAACATTCAATAATCAGACATTTAGTGGGACATCTAAACTATAGAAAATTATACATCCACAAAATATCACATTTTTGTGGAATATTTTAAAATATGGAGAATTGCTCCCAATATATATTTAATGGATAAAACAGGCTAAAAATTGTATGTACATGTGATCTTCATTTTGTATAATATATCTATTTCTATGCATTTATTTACATATATTCAGAGTAAAGAGATTGACAGTAATTAGATTAGTAGTGATTATATCTAAGTTATGGGATTGTGGGTAATTTTTATAGTCATCTTTAAATTATTCAAAATTTTCTACAAGAACTATGATATTTTTATAATAAAGGGGAAAGCATCATTTTTAAACGTTTTATTAAGTGTATAAAAACACATGAAGCACAGAGAGGAAGGTGTAGACTCAAAGACAAAATACCAATATACACCAGTAGAGGATCATGCAAAATGAACTCATTATGTACTACAGAAAGAGTATAGCATTATTTGCATGCTAGTATGTATAGAATTTCTTATACAAGATGGAGTCCTGGCAAATTTTCTTCGCCACACCAGAGAATGGTCACATGTCCCTGGATGCGTCAGTCACTCTCTTTGCCGCAGTGCTCTGTTCAACACCCCCTCCCTTTGCCTCCGGTATGTTGTCTCCCTTTCCCTCTGCAAAACATGCTACCAGCAGACATGTTCAACTTGGGAAAATGACCCATTCTGTGGACTTTCTTTTAAGCTTTTTCATTCTTCTTTTTCCTCCTTGATTGCTGCTGCGCTGTCATCTAACTCAAAAACCAATCTACCTATCTATCTGTCATTTTTCTTTTCCTTCCATTCAAGTGTCAATCTGAATTTCAAAGAAATAAACCACCACGTCACTTTTTTTTTTCTGGCAGAAACGAACTACAAAAGCATAGACATTTTCAGAAATGTTTCAAAAACAAACATTAAAGCTTTGTTGATAAGAATCCCTGCTATCCTTCTTACATCCCTTTAAAATAAAAGAAGCACTGAGAACATTCTGTCTTTACTGTATAAATCACTATCCAAAAATATAAATAAATTTTTCCTATGAAGGCACGATCACAATATTCATTATTAATTTTTCATGATTTTTTCATCCTAAAGCCAAATTTTAATGTTTCTCATTGAGTACATGTTCATATCTCACATGAAGCAATCAATCTGAACGTTATTACAAACTGCCCCTTCCTCATTTTCTCTCTAGTACAGACATTCAGTCACACATCTTACTTAATTCTAAAAAATGACGCATCATATCCTTTTCTCCATTGCAAAATAATATTGTTCTTATGCTCTCCCAGCACTCAGAAAATAAACCAGATTTGAGAACATCTTGAATCATAACGCATTTCATCATATCAAATCCAAATATCTTAAAGCTGAGGTACAAATCTGAAAGCAATTTTCCAATTTAGTAACTTCATCATTAAATCTTATTTTAGGAAACATCTTACAAGAATCACGAGGGGAAAGTTTCTACATTTCCTCCTAGCAACTCCATGATTTAAGAAACAAGCTTTAAACTAGAAAAATGACCAGGAAATATTTAGAATTAAATTAATCCATTCCCCAGTGCTGCTGATTAGAATCAGATTCCTACACAGTTTTGCATTATTCTACTCCATCAAAACACATCACTTGCTTAGAAATCTTAGTCTGGTTATCTATTTTACAAAATATTTCTCAGCTACTTACCCGTGGCATGCAGTCTTTCCACCAGCTCTGAGGCTGTCGCACTGAAGGAGTGGGGGCAAACAGCAGCGCAACAGCCACTTGGAAATGAGATGTGCTCTGAAAAAGGGATTATCCCTATGGAAAGAAATGAAATGCCTTGAGATTATTCTCAAGAATTCTCCAAAAATATGAAATCATACTAAACATTATATGCTAAAATGTGCATGCTCATCAAAGGGCAGATTTTAATAGCTAAACCTCTAATCCAAAGCATACTTAAGTTGCCTTGATTTCCAGAGGAACCCCTACAAGACTATGAGCTTTTGGCTCTCCCGTCTCCTAGCAACAGTCTCATTAACTTTTTTTTTTTTCCTGCAGTGGTCCTACTAGGCATCAGAGAACACTGACAAGGTCTAGTCTTTGAGGATGAACATTACCATTTTGTTGTTCAATATGCGTTTTCCCCCAGGCAAGTAATAAGGAAAGTTAGAAATTCAAAGTCTCCAGAAGAAGATTTCTGATTCAAATGACATTCCACAGTGAAAAGCAGAAATTGTTCTGGTCCCCTCACTTGGTACAATGCTGCCGCTAGAACCCTGTTCTAATATAAATGTGCTCAATGCTACCAAACTATACAGTTAAAATAAAGTGGAAATTTTTTGTTACATAATTTTTCCTACAATAAAAAGGAGAGAAAGAACGATTCATTCACCCCCGGCAAATACATGTTGTACAACAAAATGAGACATGACCACAGTCAAAATATGGTGCTGGGGACAGGGATTATAAAAGTGAATAAAAAATAGTCCATCCTCCCTCCAAAAATTCATAATGTGATAATATGCACATGCTGCAAAATAGAAGTATTTTGTCAAAGTTATTCTTTTTTCATCAGTTTTGGGTAACATTATCATTAGAATTGATGCATAATCTGCCCAAAAATACTGGACTCCCAATGGGTAAAGAAATACATACTTAATTTTAAAATATGTAAACATATATTCGTATATCTCAACTGATCATGCACACTTAGCTTTACAGTGTAGCTTTTATAAAATGTTCACTTCTATTTTCACAAATTTATTCATGTCAGAACAACTTGACAACGTTACATCATTACATAAACTAATTTTAAAACTAATTTAATTTTTGCCAGGTAGGAAATATGTGGCAATCCAGTCCTATACCTTATAATAAAAAAGATCAGTACCTTTATTATGTATTTATTATGGGTCAGGCACTTTTCTACGTACCAAGTGATGAACCTGAAAAGATTGTTATCATCACATTGCACAGCTGAAGAAACTGAAGAGATTAAGTAACAGAACAAGGACACCAACCTTTCTTTTCTAAAGCTCAAGCTCCTCATCATGACCTCATTGAATCTCAAACATCAGAGTTCTTACAAATCACCTGGAGTGTTAATTTTTTTAAATGAGGACTAAAGGGACTTATTCCTAAGTATTCTGTTTTAGCAGGCTAGGGGCAAGCACAGAAATCTGTATTTTTAACAAACGTCATCATTTGATTCTGACCAGAAAACCTAAATATAATCTTTGTTATTGGTAATGTTACTGGAGAAGTAAATTCTAAAACTATCTCTCTCTCTTGCTCTCTCTCTCCCTCTCTCTCTCTCTCTCTTTCACACACACACACACACACACACACACACACACACACACACACCCCACATGCGTATATACTGCATGATTAGAACAGATGATTAAATGAATTTTTCTTTGGAACCAGAGTTCTCACTATAGAAGAAAGGAGATAGAAATATGAATCTGAGAAAGTTAAGAGAATCCTGAAGAAACCTGTGGTAATGAATTCAAATTGGAAGTTTTAGTATGAACTCATGATTTCCTAAGACAAACCTTGCTAGGTCTGTCCACAGAAAGGAGGTAATGACACCCCAGTAGCAATTAATATGACACACCAGCAGCAATGAGTACATCTAATGCCCAGGTATTAGTTTCTAAATACAGTTACCTACTAAAAGAAACCAAGATTTATTGGAAAAATAGCTGACGCTATATATGGGCAGATAAAATACAAGTGAGCTTGAAGTATCTTGTACGATAAAGCCAAAAAGCACTTGAAGACTGATGAGAACATATCAAAGTGACACAGGAGATGGCTTGAAAGGGTTCTCACTGGCGACGTCTGCTATGATTTTAACATCAAAAGGAATAATGATGGTTATTGACTGTAAAACCTAGAATAGAAAGAATCCATGAGTCCATAGTGATATAGTAAAAAAAGAAAAAGAGCTAATGGAGAGGGAAACTGCTTTTTTCTAAAAAAGAACACTTTGTATATTTGTAAAGAATGACAGAATCTGTCACTGACCATTTAGAAACCATTAGTATAGGCCAATCATGGTGGCTTATGCCTGTCATCCCAGCACTTTGGGAGAGTGAGGCAGGTGGATCTCCTCAGGTCAGGAGTTCGAGACCAGCCTGGCCAACATGGTGAAGCCCCGTCTCTACTAAAATACAAAAATTAGCTGAGTGTGGTGGCACTCACCCATAATCCCAGCTACTTGGGAGGTTGAGGCAGGAGAATCACTTGAACCCGGGAGGCAGAGTTTGCAGTGAGCCGAGACCATGCCATTGTACTCCATTCTGGGTGATGGAACAAGACTCCATCTCAAAAAAAAAAAAAAAAAAAAAAAAAAAAAAAAAGGAAAGAAAGAAAAAAGGAAACCATCAGTATAATAAGAGATTTAGCCAAGAGTCATCAATGCCTACCAAAACCATGAGATGAAACGTTGGGGAAGAGAATATTATCACTCCTAGGCTACTAATTAAATATAAAAAAGAAAACCCTGCATTTTCTTTTTTTGTTTTGAGACAGAGTCTCGCTCTGTCACCCAGGTTGGAGTGCAGTGGTACAGTCTTGGCACTGCAACTTCTGCCTCCCAGGTGCAAGCAATTCTCCTGCCTCAGCCTCCCAAGTATCTGGGATTACAGGCACAGGCCACCATGCCTGGCTAATCTTTGTATTTTTAGTAGAGACGGGTTTCACCATGTTGGTCAGGCTGGTGTCGAACTCCTGACCTGAGGAGATCCACCTGCCTCGGCCTCCCAAAGTGCTGGGATTACAGGCGTGAGCCACCTTGCCCTGCCAAAAATGTACTTTTCAATGGAGAGATTTGGCATACCCCTGCCTTAACCGATTAAACTTCATGTCACAAATAATAGCACAAACTGAAATGTACCTCTTGATGTGATGAAATGGGAAGCACACATCATCTATTTAAGTACTAGCCAAAAATATTTTATCTGAAGAATCAAGCATTAAACCCAGATTGTGGAATAATCTAGAA